CGTGTGCTCTTCCGATCTAAGATATTGACCAATTACAATCGATTGTTCTCCTCATATTCGACTATAATCTATATGATTGATTTATTTCTTACTGCTTAGGGCTTAAAATCCTCATTGTGGACATTAAAGCAGACGTACAACTCTGCTTTACGAATGTCCAAAAAAGAAGACAGCCTCTATTTAATATTGGATCATATTCAATTATTTTCTATCGGATATAATCCAATACTGGAGAAAGTGTTTTGTGAATGTGTAATCAACTAATCAATATTACATAGAGTATTTTCTTTTTTGAGTTATAGTTTGTCTGTTCTGAATGGCCTAATTTAGAGAGGTTTTCATCGGCAACTAATTGTAAAGATATATTACTAATTCTCGGTTTGCCATTGCCTCTCGAGAAGTGGCGATCAAATAAAAATCCGATGTTTCTGGCCGGATTTGAACTCTGGGTCTTTGTCATAGAAAGCAGACGTACACAAGTAGACGTATACAAGTCTCTGCGCCACGATCATTACTACAACTCAATTTAAACAAATATTGTACACAATTACTACTGATGCGAATCCCCTTGATGCGGATAAATTCGTAACTAATTTTCTATTCCGTTTTTGTGCTATCGTGTATTACGAAATGATTCGCACATATGACATAAATAGATTTCAATAAAATGCACGAAATACAACTTTCCAGATAATCGCATTATTCATTTTCGCGATAGTGCGCCAAATGAGATCGCGTAACTATTCTGATATTCCAACGCGACGCAATAATAAGCGTCAGTCTTTCTCGGGAATTCCGTAGACTGAGGAAGCGATAGAACGAGCGACATCCTCGTTTGCGGTTTTCGCAGGATAATTTATTTTGAGAATTTCGCGCGCGCGGGCCTCCGGCTTAATTATAGGCCATGCTGAAAGGCCCGAAAATTTTCGGCTCGCTCTCGGTCTTTATGAATATACACGTGTTTCGTTCTAACAATAAGTGCAGCTATTGTTTCAATCTTCGATCTTCTTCGCTTTATGTCAATCGTAATAAAGAGACATACAAACCAAATTGCTTTTATTGCTATTACATTGTTATTACATATGATTTTTTATTTATCGAGCCAATATCCTTTTTTTTCCCGAGTTTATTTCAATTCCTTTCAATCTCATTTATTACGTTTTTTTTTAATCTTCTTTATTGTCTCAATTTATCAAAACTGAAATTAACTTTAGGATTCAGCATTTTCGAAATGCTTAATTATATCCACAACGTGCTTTCAGATTTAATTAATTTTAAACTTATATAAATGTAATGACTAAAGAAATAACAAGAAATAAATAATTTAGTTCGCTGAACACATACATTTCAGGCTTCTCAATTTTCAATCCTCTTCGAACTTTAATTCTCTTCAGCTTCTTTTTCATCCTCTTTACTGAAGAGCTAATAAAATAAAAGATAAGATTAAATTTCCTTTTTATCCTCAAACATTCAATTACACTTAGCGTGCTTTCAGGCTTAATTAGCTTCACGCAACGCTCTCTTGCTCATGTTCCCAGGTTAGATAAATGGTGAGAGCCCAGCGCAAGCCATGTACAATCTGAACGTGAACGTGAATCCCAGCCCGACCGGGGCTGCGGGTCTTCTCGGTGTCACGGCGGCGGCGGCCGAGGTCACGCCAAGGACACCGGAAATCGTAAATTCGCTGATCGCCATGACCAATCCCTTCGAGGGCTACGGCAGCGGCAACGAGAAGGGCATGCGGGACCGTACGGACTCGACCAGCAGTGGCGAACCGAGCCCGCCAAGCGTCCAGCACACCTGTAGTCAGCTTATCAAAGAAGGTAAAGAAGGAAGATCACACATACATTTTGGAGACTCGTACATCGCAAATTGTTATATACTTGTTCTAGTAAACGAAATTTGCAAAGGATTTCTGTAGAATAAATTCGAGAAGCCGATTTTCTTTTAAATTTAAATAATGAAGACGATAATGGATAAAAATCAATGTCATACCAATTTTGTGAACCAGAGAAAAATAAATAAGCATAAGATTCTCTCGTATAAAATTCAATTTAAGAAATCGCAAATACGTTTAAATATATTGTGAGGTCACAGAACTCTTAATTTATTATTGAGATATTCTTTACTCTTAATAAGTTAAATAGAACGGAATAGCCGCGTGTACATATTGATTATTTCAGATCTTTGTATATTTACTATTAAGCAAATCACACTGTTACATTATATCTCATAAGGAAGATAATTTTAATAATAAAATTAATTTAATCTAATATTTAACAAGAGTAACACACATTTAATTTATTATTTAAATTTTTCTGTTAATCTCAACTTTATAAAAGAATATATATACTATTTTTTCTTTTTTCCTCTTTATATCTACTTTCAGCAAATCTCAGATTGCGAGCAAATATTAATTGCTTTACATTTCTTAAAACACGCAAACTGCACGAGAAGTCTAAGTTCAAATCTAAAAATAAGCGAGATTGCACTCATTTGTGCAGACTTCATCCGCATTTAACAAATGTCAATGACAATAGTGGTTCATTCTGTTCGGTAATATAATGTACTTCTCTTTTTTTCCCCACTTTATTTCTTCACTTTTTTGCCTTCCACTCTCTGCACAGCGCAACGCATTAAATCGCAAATCCTGTTCCTTTCAAATTGCGAATTACGTAACACACGCGCACACACGCAAAGGAGGATCATTATCGTAATTGCCTTTGTGGTTTTTGTTCGCGCCGATACTATTATACTAACCGCCAAATTAATTAATTGAAAATATTTTTAATTGATTCTCGATACGCGGAATATAGACCACCATTTACGTGGGTGTAGAGTGAAGCGGTTTGATAACGAATCGTATGTCGCGACCGCTGACACAAATAATCCTTAATTATCGCGATTTAATTCCTCGAAGGTCACGAGAGTGTCCTTGTACCGCGTGGAAATGTTAGCGATCACTGTCATTTTCTATGGCATTAATACATTGTGCGTTGCAACATTTTCGAGTCCACTCTCCGGCGGAAGTCTGTAATTTATTGTGACATTAAGGAACACGTATGCGAAATGAAACAATTATTCGCGCAATCTGTTCGATCTTTTTATTTCTTTTTTTTTTTGTAATGAATATAATTCTCGAGTTATATTTACACATTGCAGTTATATTCTAATAATGCTAATAACGCTAGAACTATTGATGTTAACTACTATTTAAGTATATTATATATATAATGTTTTAGAAAAAAGAAAGTGATTAATTAAATTTTTTACATATTGCGACAAAAGTCACGGAAAAACTCAGAAGTTACACCGTCATAAACCTGAATAATTTTTATAAAAAAATTATAAACCAATCATTTTGATGGATTGATAATTTTAGTGTTAATACTTTCGATTTTTTACTTACTAATAAAAATCTTGCCTCTTTTAAAATTAAAATTAAAATTAAAATATAACGTAAATGACAAACCAGGATTTATTTTTTAGTGCATGAGAAAAAACAAGGAAAGAACTTTTCCTTTTCATCACAGCGTCTAATTACTAACAACTTTTCTCTAATCTTGATAGATTCGCATTCCCCGTATATTGCGAATAATGACCATTTTGGCCTCGGCAATGTACCTGGGAGCGAAACTAATCAATGGAAATTAATTACACTCTCCTTTGAACAGGGCTGAAGCTAACGCTGCAGACGAAGAGGCGGGCGACCAGTAGTAGCGACTACGGTCAGAAGAAAACGAAGAAGGAGGATGGCAGCGGCGCCGATGACGAGGAAGAGGACGAGGTGAGCAACAACAACAATAGAGCTGGCGTAAGTAAATCTTTATACTTTTTTTTACTATCCTTCTTAGAATCAACTTAGAATCAACACAGATTTTTTCCGAGAGCTTCTTGGTAAGAATTGTCACTTTTCGTATTCTTAACCCTTTGTGTCTTTTCATTAATTTTTCAACTTGATTATATAAGTTATATTAAATCATATTAAGTATCTCATAAAAATCAAAAAATATTAATTAATAACTTGTATCTTTGGGATGTTTATAAAATTTTAGAAAATAAAAATTATCGTTATTTTTTTGTGTCAAGGAATGCTAAAATGACAAAATTTTCAATTGGACATATTTAATAAAATAAAATTAATTTAGACTACAGAGGGTTAACATTCCAGATTCTGCAGAAGATAATTTCATACTTTTTGGAATTTTAATGTAGTTGATGATTTATAAACAATAAATAAAGTTTTTTGATTGCCTTTTTTTGAACTTTATTACCCATTTCTTTATTAATTCCCTTCCTTTATTAATTTTAATGTTTATGTACATCTTATGTACAGTTTATGAATATTCAGGGAATAATAATATAGAAAAGAGTATTACGTTGCGTCATAATTTGTAATGAAAAATTAGTATAAAAATAGACATTGTAACTTTGATGTAAAATCCAAAGAATTATATATATATAATTATAAAATTTGAACAAATTGTTTAAAGATTTGTTCTTATCTTTATTGCAAAAGAGTATTACTGAATTTTTCCGATAATTTTCTAGAAAAGTGACAATTCTGCTCACTAAAAACAGAACCGAAAAATTTGCAAAAATAATTTAGAAGTATAACAAACTCAAATTCTCTCACAAAAACTCTTGTGACGAAAAAACAAATTAATTTATTTCAACGAAATAACATTTTGATATTGGATTGTCGTTTTAATTGCATTTGCCACGCTCTGTTCCTTCTTTTTTACTTCTTGTCAACGTCTAGATATGTATCCGTTTTATTTTAATTTTCAAAATTTATATAAATCGCGATATAAATTAATTATTAAAAGAAGTATATTATATATCGTTAATTTTGAATGAAAAAACGCAAGAAAATGCAGTTAAAACGAGCATTCTAAGTGCATTGAATGAAACACGCGTGAATACATAGCGAATACGTACTTGATTCCATCCTGTGACAATTTTGGCGATAGCTTAGAAACGTCTCTCGATCCCAAACCAGACGACGAATCCTTTCGATCCTTGTGTCCTTGACGGCTGTTGCGACTATTCGCGTGCACGAATAAATTAATTCCGACAGGCGTCGTGTCGAGCGATTTCGGCAGTTTCGACATTCACGAATTTGCATGCCGCGCACAGGATCGTTTGTTTATGGCACACGAAGTGCAAGCTGCTAAAATTAGCGAAATCTTGAAAGCGCGAAGAAGTAACGCGCTTGTATCTTAATCGCTATATGGATCACGCGTTTGTAATCATGAATAAAAAAACGTGTTTTTTATTCTTGTAATATTTCCATTTTTATTGTGTCATATTTTTCAGCAGACTTAACATTATTAATATTGCTAAATATAGAATAACAGTCGTATATGGAATTCCGCGACGAAATTTCATAAGATAGATTTTGTGTTTTATTTTTAAGACAACACATATAATCCCGAAATTTATTAATGTATATAAAGAAAAAAGAAACTTTATTGTAGATTTTACGAACGGATATTTTTTATCAAATACTGGAATTTATCATGAATATCTGTTAAGAAATAGCATATGCTTCGATATAAATAAAAGATAAAAATTAAAAAAAATATAATAAAACCGTGGCTTATATGTATATAAATTTATATATTTATTTATATATAAATATTTCGGAAATGCATTGTAAAACATTATAATGTATGCTTGGGTGTTTCCTTATCCAAAGATACCAAGCTCCTTTCGGATCCGCCACTGATTAACACCTCCGTATCTATCTTGCTAATTCTTACTAATGCGCGCGAAAGTGCAACGAGCTGCAAACAGTTAGCATCTTCTCTCAAATTACTTATCTGTTGTTATTATTCAAACAATCGATGAATTTGTACAAAAAATATTTACACAATTTTCGTCAAAATCACAAAAAACTTTAGAATAGGAATCTAAACGCAGTGATTCGCATCTATAGTTTTTAATGAGATTTCGAACAAAAAATCCAAACAAATTCTCTTTTAAGAACTCTTTTTTTATCTCAAAACCAGGACATGAAAAGTTTTGAACTTTAAAAATAAATAAATAAATAAAATCTCCTAACAAAGTTGAAGATTAAAAAAAACTTGCTTTTCTAAAAGAAAGTAAAAGACGTCAGAAACGAGAATGTCCAAAGTTCTGATCTTTTATTAATTTGAAAAATTCAAAACTATTTTCTATATAAAACTCTTTTAAGGCTTCTTTCAATCAAAGTCTCAAGACCTCTACAACTCAAGAATTTTCAAGTCCCATTTTTCACATTTCAAAGCCAAGTCAGGTTTCAAAAGAGATTTAAACTCGAGGAATCGAAATATATAACTGCAATTTCCTAAAATAAATTGAAGATACCTAAGAAATTTCCTTATTCTTCCCGAAAGGAAGTTGAAGACATCAGGATAAAAAATGCGGAAATCCTTGTCGTTTGCAGCTGACGCCGGAGGACGAGGAGCGACGCCGGCGGCGGCGCGAGCGGAACAAGATCGCGGCGACCAAGTGCCGGTTGAAGAAGCGCGAGAAAACGGTGATCCTCGTGCAGGAATCCGAAATCCTCGAGACCCAGAATCACGATCTGAAGTCGCAGATCCAGGAGTTGGAGACACAGAGGCGCAGGCTGGTCGACATGCTGAGCCTCCACAGTCCGACCTGCTTGAAGCAGGGCGTGGACGCGACGTCGTATCAGCAGTTCGCCGAGCCCCTTCATCTGCCCAGTTATCAAGACAATTTTGTGCCACAGCAACCCCCGCCGGCCCTGAATCAGCCGCAGAACTGCGTCACCGATTATCCGGTGAAGGTCGAGGAGTACGAGACCGATTTCTACCGGCAGAGTAGTCCCTTCGTGCCGACAACATCGGACGCTGGTTGCACGGTTTAGCGAAACGGCGAAAATCGTTTTTCTTCGCCATCTCGAGGGAGGGAGGATCGTCGAGAAGCTCGAAACGCGTGTATAATAATTGAAGGTTCTTGGAGTATTAGAGACGGTCTTACCAACGTTAATTTAAATTGGCCAAGGTACATAACTTCAAAAGAGAGAGAGAGCTATTTAAGAAACTTTTATAAATAAATATATATATATTTTTGTTCCACGGATAAATGATAAAATTAAGATTGAAAATTATCTGGTGAATGTTAATCGACATTGGTGAAAGTAACTTTTTGCGAATTTAAAGATTTTTTATTTTTATTAAATTCAACTTTCTTTTGCCCTTGTGTTCGCAGACTAAATCCTTGTATAAAATTTCAATTGAGTTGAAAGCCAAGGAAATTTTCGGAAGAAATTTTGATATTTTATATTAATATATATATCAGTATATATTATATGTTTAGTTTACAATTTATATATCTGAATTTTATTTCATGTTTTATAATTTTTTTAGTTATTAACATAATATGTAAAATATTATACAAGTTTTATTTTCGAATTACATAATATTACTTTGAGCAGTATACTTTGCTCGATGAAATGGTTGGCATCAGGATGCCGAACGGCAGGTTTATATGCATTCCATGTACAAGGTATCAGAGAACTGAGAAAGTGATTTCATTGATTGATTGTCTTTAATTTTTGTAATTTAATTCGTAACTTTCTAATTTTCTAAACGAGTCATCCGAGCTTCTCCCCGTTCGTCTCTCCCGATCGTAAGTCCGTAGCTTGTAAGTCGATTATTATATTGTAAACGCGAACAATGATTTTTATCTTTCGTCTTCCTCCTCGCCCATCGATCTTTCCTCCCCCCTTTTTTCTCATTTCACCTTTTCTTTTCCCTTCTTTTCTAACGAGCTCTTGTTATACTCGAGAAACGTTCGACGTAGAGGACGCTTGAAGACATTCCTTCGTAATAACCGTACTGTGACATTCTCTTATAAGGCCTTTAATTAATAATATAATCGATAATGTAAGATAAAGACGGACTATCCAGCGATGCTCGCTTTTTTACAAGGATTATTACTGTTATTTAGAATAAAATTATTAAACCATAATATATCGACAGCTTTAAGCCGTGATTAAGAATATTATTAATTTTGATTATATTAATTGCACTATTAATTTTCTGATTCTTTAAAGATCGATTTATAATTTCAGTTAACTAAAAGCATTACTATTAGTAATGAGACTTTGAAAGTCTGCTTATATATTTTTCAGCGAGTTAAAGCCGATGAATATATTATCCTCTTTATTTTCTTTTTTACGCTTGTCGCGCCGATGAAAAAAACTAGTGAGACGAGTGAGCATCGCTAAAATATTCCGTCGTTAAATAATAAGCAAAACTCGAGACACCGCGTCGAATGTTAACGACAATTATTAAAGATCGAGAATTATTTTTCAAACCGCTTTGTCACACTTCTCGAAAAAGTTATGAAAAAACTTTAACACTCTGGGTGGTAGGGTTTAATATTTGAAAAATTTGTTCGTGATTGGTGTTGAATTTCTAGAAAACTTTTGTATCAATTTAATAATAATAACTTCCATTTAACGAAAAGTTTTAAAACGTTTTGGAAATAAGTTTTCTAATTTCGCGAAGCGCGTGTCTCAGATTTGCGAGACAGTGAGAAAGAGAGTACACGCGAGTACCCCGGTGTAGGTAAGTCTTCTTTAACATTGATATTGATTATCAAGGAGATCGATAAAGTGCGTTCAGAGGATACTTATAATTATACGAGTAACGAGAATGATATTTAATATTATATGTACGCATATATTTTATACAAATGCATATTATATGTATTATATATTATATATAATATGCGTATATGTAATTATAAATATATGTATATGTGTGTATATACATATATATATAATTTTACAACGCGCAAACAATTGCATAAATAAGTGCACGCCATTAACAATTAATGAACACTTAATTACATGACGATTATTAAATTTTAGATTCGTTGGAAAACCAAGAATTACGTGCCTAACGACATACCTCAATTTAGTCTTGTTTTACTCTCCCACAGTGCGTTTGCAAATTGTGACTTTACTGCTATTAAGATCTTGAATCCAATATTCAAATGTGAAAATGGATATAAGCAGATACATTATACAAAAAAGCATGAAAATGCCAAAGAAAACTGCAAGAAAACTGCACGACATGATATGTGCTGTAACTCTATAATAATCTATTGTTACAAGTTTACTGAGCAAATTTTCTTCAAATATGTAAAAATTTTATTTTTTTAGAATTGATATTTTCAAAATCGAAAAAATGAATTTTATTTTAAATACATATATTTTTAAATAATTTCCTATAATGTTTGAAACATATTTTTCCTACAATTATAAGTTTCCAGTTTCTGATCGTGTCTTGGAATCATTTTGGATCAATTGAAAGTATCCCTTCCGTATAATTTCATCATTATTTTATTTATTAATTTGGCAAACACACTTTGGGCTTATAAGATGATTTCTCACGTAATCTATGGATATTAGTCTGATCGTTAGCGGAAATGCTGTAATTAATTAACGAAAAAAAAAACGCTTATACAGATCCGCGGACTAAATGACTTTCCCTCTTCGGAGTGTTGCTACAGATTGATGAAATAATTCTTGATAATAATACGAAACCCGAGAAACTTTTCCGGCGCTTTGCGAGCAAAGCGAAGCGGGACAAAGTCTTTCTGCGTTTTCTCCCCTCTCTTTCCCTACGATAGTATACGGAATTTTACGGAAATCATGTAAAATCCAAGTATGACTTTTGATCTGCGAAATCGTAAAAGAGAGAGTATGGCAGTCATGCCAGTATCACACAACAGCGATACAGTGAATGGTGCTAGAAATATTATCTTCTTTTTATAGAATTTTTATCAAGTTGCCAGAACAGAGTATTTAATAGTTTAATGTGCCCTTAGGGGAAAAATAAATTTCTATCTACCTATTTAATAGTTTACGTGTATTAAATGTCAGATTGGAAGATATTTCGTTTCGATATTGGAAAGTAATATCGTTAAGCTATAATGTCTCACAGCTCCGACGTTAAGAACTTCGTTAAAAGCGCTTCGATAATAGAAATTCGATAAATTTTCATTTGTGGTAACCTTTGCGATTCTAAATAGCCCGTTCTGTTATTCGAATACTGCCAATACTAAGACCTCGGATATCGTAGCTTCTATAGTATCTAAGGACTTGTTTATTTTTTTTTATCAGTAAACAGAGTAATTCGTTTTTTTTCTTTTAGAAAAAGCGTCGCTTTGTGGAGCAGTGTTAAGTTGCGAAATAGTAAAAAAAAACTGCGTGCCAGATTTTTATATAAAATCATAATATATCTTTTACATATATTACTCAGTACCTGGCTATAGTATTTTCCATGCAACATGGCTGTTTTTCTCGCAAATTTTTTTCTGATTAATACACCTTGCGCGAATAAGACAGATAAACGGCCGACAAAATTTTATCGTTATAATCTGAGGAAACATTTTATTCTTCAAATAAAAGTGTCTTCAATACTAAAAAAATGACTCGAATTTTTAGAATTTCCTTCTATGCTAGAATTTTATTTAGAAATTTTGATTTGAACTGAAATATAAATTTTATCATAAAAGAATATTATTATATAAAGAATATTAATATATAAAAATCAACACTGATTATATATTTTTGTATTTTTGAACAAGACTGTTACGATTGCGCTTCCTAAAGTCTGGACCTATTTTCAAGATATAATTTTTATTGTAGATTTTAATGGGTGAATCTCTTATTCATCTTTTATGTGATATATAATTAGTAAAAAAGTAGGAAACTTTTTAGATAACTATTTTATTATAAAACTCATTAATATTATGCACATGTCTCTCTCACCTGCCTTACTCACGAAATCAATTCAATTACATAGCAAATACAGTTTTTGTATTATAAATAAGAGTAAGAAGGGACATGCAACAACGGAAATAGTCTTATGGAACCTTATCAATAATTTCCTTAAAAATATTGATGAGAATCTTCAACATTAGTTTTATGAACCTCTGAAAATAAAATAAAAAACATTAAATATCTTCTTGAATAGTTAAAAATAAAATAGAAATTCTGCAAATACTTACACAATGATATTGTTAATTGGGATGTGGATTAACTTAACGAAAAATCCTATAAAGCCCATTATACAGAAACCAATTGCGGTGGCAATCGCAATCTTCTGAAATTCTGTAATACATAAAAAAAGGTGAGTAACCGACCATTACATTCCTCGCCTATATGCGGCGCAATCAAAAAATGAAATTACCTTTGCGATCTGGCTTAGTGCATCTTTTGACAAGCCGGATGCTATCCTTGGCAAACTGACGGCCAGGTTCAGTGAGCTTCTTGATTTGGTCCATGGCGATTAGGAAACTGCAAAGAAATTAGAATTTGCTTAAGAATAAATAGTCATAAGAACATTTTCAAAATCGCCTGATCAATCAAATAACAGAAATATCTAAATTATATTTTGATCTTTCAGAGTTCAGACAATTTTCAGACATCGAGCTTTCATATTGAACAATGATCGTTGAATTGTCATTCATATTTTGTAGTAATAATAATAATAATAGATCTATTTTTATGTAACTGTACTACATTATTATAGTATTAATATAATCAGAGAGGATCCTCTTTGGTATAATATATATATTTTGCTTTGCACTCAACAAAATAGGGGCAAGCAATTAGATAAATAATTAAATAATTAGATAATTAAATAATGCAGAAAAAAAGATGAGAAATGAAAATAATGAAAAATTCAGTCACAAAAAATAAATTTATTTTAGACGTGTCAGAATACGATGCATGAAAGGTATGTACCTTCAGCAAACAGATGCAAATCTTTTTCTACTTTGATACAGTAAATAAAATCAATATTATGAGAATGTCTAATTTTATATAATAGAAGGAAAGTAGTGGATCGACTATTCTACTAAATTTGTGTCACAATACTTTGATTCACTAAAAATACTTCTTCATATTGATATTATTGGATTCTCTGATCACTGATGTGACAAATGAAATCTGGGTTATGTCGGGAAGCCCGAATCTTTTTCACAGAGAATCCCACAAATATTCATACTCGCCAGAGAAGAATAAGAAATCCGTGCGTAAAAATAACCGAATAAGAAACGAAAGCACAAGATACTCACGTTGCACGTTACACACGAAACGTCACCTCCGATGAACGCTCAGATGCTCTACTCAGCTCTACGCTACGCGATGCGTGATTGCACGATATATACTCGAAACGCTACGTGGACGGTACGCTGTCAGAACGTCACTTCCTCACGATTGATGCTGGCATCGGAGCGCTGCGGTGCCGCGATGCGGGAGTAATTCAAACAACGTGGACAATGTGATCTCATTCCTCAGCCGATACTGCCACCTCACCGACGAGCATTTATAAAAAAATTATAGTAACAAGATAAATCATCGGAAGAGATTATAATTGTGGTCTTCTTCACGAAAAATTGTTTGATTTCTTATGTCATAAATATTAAAATGTGTTTCTATATTAATTATATATTATTAATTAACGTACACTTGTGAAAAACGCTAGATAATTGGCTAATATAGTGCGTGCGCGCGGACAATATTCGAATATGTTTAAGTTCTCGAGACTTAGCCAAATAATATGTAGTAACAGATACAAACATCATGATTTCTCTTCGCAATTAACCTGTAAAGGCTACGTCTTATTTGAACATTTGTAAAGAACATCCATGAGTGCAAATTCGCTCGAAGCGTGTACCACAATGTCAAATTTACCAAATATGTAAGATATTAACAATTATATGATGTTTATCTATTTTTTATATAGTTTTTATATTATTTGTACTTGTATAAATTAGGATAAGAAACATTTATTCATATATTTTAGAAATTTTATATTAGATTTGAGATAAAGTAAAAAAAGTTTTGTTTTCATTTTTGTTAAATATACACAATTTTAACTCTAGTTTTAAGTGTTTTAACGATACACAATTATAAAAAATGTTCAAGTTATAAAATATATTTACTTAAATTGCGAAATTTAATTTACATCTTTGTTAAGGATAGACATTAATATTAACATATATATATATGCAATTAGTCCTGTATTATGTTGGATGATTTATAATTGCGTAATGCAACTGAAGAATTAAGAAAATTTATTATTGAACAACTTTAAATTAATATTTTAAATTACTATAAATTATTAAACAACTTTAAATTAAATTAATA